CTGACCCTCCTAGGTCACAAGACCTAAATTCCGATCAGGAGATCCTTTTAATTATGTTTGAAATTATGAACATTGCTCAACATCATGAAAATTAAACCTTATTTTCAATAAGCAACCCTGAAAAATATTTGGGGGTGCTTAACTTTTTTCCAGGTGTATATTTGGTTGTTTGGTTTAAAGCAAAGCCACATTGAGCTATCTGCTGTGTTCACCGAGGGGAATCGAACACCGGAGTTTAACGTTCTAAGTCTGGAAACTTACCGCTGTCTCACCGATGGATCACATATATATCTTTTAAATTACACCGTATTTATCCATGCAGTTAATTTAGGTTAATTAACAAATTAATTACAAGTTAATGACAAATAGCTCTCCCGCCCTCTCCTCGTAAACTTAAAAGTGGAGAAAATAAAATATTCTGAGAGTAAGAATTGGTCTCGTTTGTGTAGCCCCCTCCACTAACACACACATAAATACGTATCTTCTAAATCAAACTGGATTAACACACGCTGTTAATCGAGGTTTAAGTGAAAGCCGTTTTAGCGTTCTCTGCTGACGGCAAGCTGAGACAGAAACAGATCATATGCTTTTTTTCTGACCGGTAACTATAATAATACTATATTAAATACGCAAATAAAATATATACGTACTTCTCCATTAAAAACAGGCCACTTCCAATAAGAGTAATGTACGTAACAGAGAAAACATATACACAGTTCTTCATTTAAAACAGACTACTAATAACAGTAATGTACGTAATAGAGAAAATATATACCCACTTCTCCATTAAAAACAGACTACTAATAACAGTAATGTACGTAACAGAGAAAATATATACACACTTTTCCATTAAAACAGACTACTAATAACAGTAATGTACGTAACAGAGAAAATATATACACACTTTTCCATTAAAAACAGACTACTTCTAATAACAGTAATGTACGTAACAGAAAAAATATATACACAATTATTAGAAGTAGTCTGTTTTTAATGGAGAAGTGTGTATATATTTTCTCTGTCACGTACATTACTGTTATTAGTGGTCTGTTTTTAATGGAAAAGTGTGTATATATTTTCTCTGTTACGTAAATTACTGTTATTAGTAGTCTGTTTTTAATGGAGAAGTGTGTATATATTTTTTCTGTTACGTACATTACTGTTATTAGAAGTAGTCTGTTTTTAATGGAGAAGTGGGTATATATATTTTCTCTATTACGTACATTACTGTTATTAGTAGTCTGTTTTTAATGGAGAACAAGTAATGTACGTAACAGAGAAAATATATGTACACTTCTCCATTAAAAACAGACTACTAATAACAGTAATGTGTGTAACAGAGAAAATATATACACACTTTTCCATTAAAAACAGACTACTAATAACAGTAATGTACGTAACAAAAGAAACTCGATTCCATAACTCATGATGTATTTATTCTGTATGTAGTTGCTGTTACACATATACATTCCTGTATTGTTGTGTTGTGGGTTTTGTAACTAAAATATTTAAAGTTTTCACTATTATGAGAGATATCATTTTATTGGAGGGCCATAAAGTAAGACCCAGAACAGAAAGAAAGAAACTTGAGTTTCATCTGTAATACGATCTTTCTGATTTCACAACAGCGAGAAAGCACCGTCTTCGTTAAGTTCCACGTGCATAGTCGATTTGTGTCTTTTTTAGTTATAACAAGGCAGCTTGATGATCGAGAGTCGTAATTAATTGTTTTACCTCATTATATAATGTATAAATAAATTGATATACAATGTAAACGAATAAGGGGAAATGCTTTACACAGAGGGAAGAGCTCGTTACCATGGCGATTAATGACGTTACCTCACAGCATTCATGTATCTGATAAATTACCTGCAGGAAGGTATACAAATATCTGTCTGTCTGTCTGTATACATATATGAACACATTAATTTCACGAGTCTGGAGTGAACGAATTGTATTGGTTTTTACGTTAATAGCTTCACAGGTAAATTGTAAGGCCAATTTCCGAAATTATAATATAAAATTTTAAATTATGTTTTAATACATCAGGTATCTCCTTTCAAACACAGATGAGGTGATTTGATTATATGTATGTATATCCATCCTTCCAAATTAACAGATAACGTGATAACATGAAGTGATCGGATTCTATGTATATATCCATCCTTCCAAATAAACAGATAACGTGATAACAAGAAGTGATTTGATTCTATGTATATATCCATCCTTCCAAATAAACA